GAGAAAGAACGCAGCCTTGGGGGGATCCGGTGCTGATGATGCACCTTATCCATTCACTCCCTCCTCGACCCCTTCTTCTCATCCCTCGACCCTTACCCCTTCATCCCTTCATCCTTTCATCCCCTCCATCCCTTAACCATTTTTACTCCCACAGCATTCCATATTCATTCATAACGTGTAATAAACTTTTCTATACAGCTGTTGGTGTGGTCGATACTGTACACAGATGAGTGGGGAGCAGTGATGTATTTCCACCATCAGTGAAGTAATGTTTCACTCCCTTTCCTGATGGTGTGTTTGACTTTTATTTTCCTAGATTCTTTCATCTGACATGTATCTGTCCGTATGAGCCACATCCGCCTCTACGCACAGTTTTTTGAAAACTACATCTCCCAGGGATTCATGGATTTTTTATTCTTCAGATTCAGTTCAAGTTCAGTTTCCTTTTTGCTGTTTGCGCAAGTCCACAGTCAGAACTGGGGGTCGTTAGTCTTAACATGTTGGCACCTGTGAGGCCTCCCTGAGGCCTATTTAACCCATGCTGCTTGCAGTCTCTCTGCTAGGCCGCATGTCCTCTAGTTTGCTTTGGTTTGCATTTCCATCCATGCGCTACTTGCACTACTCATACAGCTACATGTTACGTCCTATCCTTATTTCCTTAAAAAATAAAACTGCAGTAAATGACATTTAAACTTGAGGTACTTTATTTTTTGTTCTACTTTTTAACATTAATATTTTTCAAACATGCACACAAGATGCAGCAAGATGATAATGTATAACCACATATATTGTGTCCCAGGTCCCAACATGGTAGAGTGTTCTTTCCTTTACTTGTCAATTTTTTGCTGTCATGATCATGTCTCAATTAAAATTTTTCAATATTCATAATTACAAAAGCAAAATATTCTCAGTATTTAGCTATTTTTAATGGTTTTTATATAGCATTCATTGTGTGTATTTTGATGCAGAGTTTATATCAAAATGTGTTAACATTTTCTGTAATGAAATAACAAATTTAGAAGACTGCGAAACCTTGGTGAAGGTATATGAGTATTATTGCCCTTACTTACTACTTATTACTTATCTGTAGTGTGACAACACAGTGTAGTGTTAACACAAGGACAGTGATAGTGTTCATTTACAAATGTTGACCATCAATCTAAATCCCAACCACCACCGCAGGAGTGTTGTTTCCCTATTTATCCCCCCACCAGAAGTGGCATTTATTCTGGGTTGAAAAGGTCTACCATTACACAGAAGGAGGGGGTAAATGGCCGAGGGGTAATTTGGACCAAGCTGCCCCCTGATGCTACACCAATAAGACCTTCAGTCTTCCATTCAGGGCACTGACTGTGGTCACCTTTGCCATACATCTTCAGCTCCTCCTGATCCTCTTTGGTCTCCATCGCTCCCTCAGGGCTACTTCAGGGGGCAGTTTGTACCCAGGTGTGTATTGTGTCTATAAATAGCATTTGTATGTGGTTGGATGGTCAAGAAGATAGCTTTAAGAAGCTGAACAAGATGGTGCAGATGGTGACCGGGCTGAGAACCTGACACTTCTCAGTATTATAGCAGCAGAGAACATAAAGCACTATTCTGACTCTTCTGCAGGATTCTCAGATTAAAACGAGTCTGCCAGAGACGTTTGTTTCAAGCAACCAATGGAGTTAATGATAACATAGCTTGATTTCTTTTATATCTGTTACCAAATGTTATTTAACCGGCAAATGCTAGAATTGGGGACTTAAGCCGCATTTCCTCCCCAGCTCCATGCCTCCATCCAGTCCAGATATTGTCACATCTGGTTCCAAAAAGACAGGATGACTACGGCCATAATGCATATAATGAGGCTTCAAAACGAAATTGGGTGATATCAGTGTAGGTTCACATTGACAAAGACACATTTTACATAATTCATTTGTCTTGGTATTTGGTTGATTATTACAAAAAGCTACAGGCAGCAAGACAAAAGACTGCTGAAAAAAACAAGAGAATGCAGGAAATCCTACATAACCTACGAAAACTCAAAGAACCCAAATCACACTATCTGAAGTCTTGCCATTCTGACAAACCCAAAACGGATGTACCCAATCAGTATTTGCATAAAATGTTTTATCATCACATGCTCATGGATCCGACCAGATTGTTATTGTTCCTTGGAAGAAAGGTTGCTCAACAGGGTGGGTGGGGGTGTTGGTAAAGAGGGAACAACTCTGTGTGGCTTGCACAATGAGAAGGAAGAGGCAAAGTATTGATCATTGCTTGTTGTCTTCTACAAACCACCTTTACGAACTCACCAGAGACAGACTGACATACAGTACTGTTTGTCCTTGTGTCTATATGTTTGTGTGCTTGACAAAGAGAACAGCAAGAGAGAGAAAGCAGATGAGATATTTCATAGGCCATGAAACACAGGAGTAAACACGAATCCTACCTCTATTGATTATTTGAGCACTGGTTGGAGGGTTTGTGGGTTTATGTTGACTTGTAAACAGTCTGGGGACTGGCTTGCTCCAGTATGATCGATGCTGCAAAGAAAAGGCACAGGTTAGAAGGGTTCTTCCCCCTAGCTGGGAGCCATCACCGGCTTTATGATAGGCAAAGGTTTAGGGTTATGCTCGTAACATACTGAAGCTGCAAACGATGGTAGCTCTTTCCCAACATTTAAAGGCCACATAATGTCCATCTTTCAACCCCACTTTACTGTCTAACCTAACCTCATGATCCCCTTCCCTCCTCCTTTTTCCCACTCGGCTCTTCCTCTTCCCCCATCCCATTTTCTCTTTCCTCCTTTGACCCCACTGTTGTTCCCCCCTCACCTCATCACCCATTTCTCGCAATGGCACCGACTTACATACTGCACGCTGAGACTGTGAAAATCAATAACATCATCTCAACACTGTCTCAATTTTCAATTAACGACTTTGAGGTCTGTCTCTCCAGACACATCCATCACAGCAGATCAGCCTTCGAAACATCAGATTAGACACAAACTCTCACAAGCAGAGACTCTTGCACTCACACAGCCGACACCCTATGTGCACAACACCACTCTCAGTAGTGGAAAAGAAAATACTGAAATCATGTTCTTAAAGCAGCACTATATATTATATGCTAACAATGGATCAAGACTACATGTAAAGGGGCTAGTAACTCTGCAGCTCTGCTTTTTTTCATGGTTTTGGTTTGGTTCTCAACAGCCTTGTTTCCAGACAGAGCAGGCAGAAGAAGCTGCGATAAACCGAGAAGCACTACCTGCACCAAACCATCCAACTATCCAGATATATTTTTCAGAAGTTTGTGGAGACCGAAACAGAGCTAGAGTGAATACTTCCAGATGGCCAGAAATCACTCCAAATAAACGGTAATGTTGCTTGTGCCTGGTGGATGCATAAATGGGCAACTGTTTGTGAACACATTTTTGTCATAAAAATGTTATAAGGTGATA